GCTTCTCTTTGCTGGAGGAAAATAAAAACAAGTAATTGCATAAAAAAAAAAGCAGCCAGAAGTATACACAATACATGCGAAGGGTTAAAAAAAAAAAAAAAAAAATACCCAACCCTGGTCAGCTGGGAGGCTATGTTCTAACTGGCTTGGCAATTTACTGTGTGACGGCAGCAGGTCACAGATCCTCGGGGGCGGGGCCATGTCTCAGGGAAAACACACACCAGTGGCTTTGCAGCTATTAGCAAACACCTTATTGGTGATGTACAAGTCACATGACCTCTGTCAATACTTTACAGTCAATTGAAGACTTTACTCTATAGCCATCAATGGAGAAAAAAAAAAAACCCTCACTCATTTAGTTCATGTCAGACCCCCCCCCCCCCCCCCCCGTTACCTGCCTTCCTCCCCTGACAATGTGACTGTCCTCTGCGCAACACACCATTGATATTGGACAATAATCCCACCAGATCTGTTCTGGAGGTCAATGTTTGTAAAGATTTTCAGCATGGTTTTACCCAAATATTTAAATATTTTAAACCCTTTCACTTTTTTCTTCAATCTTTTCCCCTCATTGCCGCTTCCCAGTGGCCCTTAAACCGCTTTCCCAGCCGTTAATCACCGGGTCCCAGCAGGTAATTACCAAGCATCTCAGATGGGAAGAAGGACTGCTTTTTTTTACAAACAGTTCTCCTCCATGTCGGCTCGGGCACACTTCTCTGGATGGTTGTGCACAGCCATCCAGAGCAGTGTGCTTGCAGTGAAGCATCAACACACCACCCCCCCTAGTAAAACACTCCCTGCACATAGTTAACCCTTTAATCCCCTCTCATGTTAACCCCTTCCTGTCCAGTGCCATTAGTACAGTGTCAATGCCCCCGGACCCCGCATTCACTATATCCGCTCTCCCCCGGACCCCGCAGTCGCTATATCCGCTGTCCCCGGACCCCGCAGTCGCTATATCCGCTGTCCCCGGACCCCGCAGTCGCTATATCCGCTCTCCCCCCGGACCCCGCATTCGCTATATCCCCTCTCCCCGGACCCCGCATTCGCTATATCCGCTCTCCCCGGACCCCGCATTCACTATATCCGCTCTCCCCGGACCCCGCATTCACTATATCCGCTCTCCCCGGACCCCGCATTCACTATATCCGCTCTCCCCGGACCCCGCATTCACTATATCCGCTGTCCCCGGACCCCGCATTCACTATATCCGCTCTCCCCGGACCCCGCATTCACTATATCCGCTCTCCCCGGACCCCGCATTCACTATATCCGCTCTCCCCGGACCCCGCATTCACTATATCCGCTCTCCCCGGATCCCGCATTCACTATATCTGGTCTCCCACAGTACACAGAACATGGAAATGCAATTATTTTAGTAAATATAAACTGCTAAATGCCTTTTCTCATCAGCAGTATAGAGCAGTCTTGTGACTTCTATCAGTGTCCAGCAGGTTAAAGCTTGTAGGAGAAGTTCTCATTCTGCTCTGACTGTCCTATGAGGCTGCATAATCCCTGACCTTCCTTCTGTCTGGACAGTGCTGATCACATGCACCATCCCAAAGGGAAAAAAAAAAGGGAAAAAAAAAAAAAAAAAACCCAAAACCTCTCTAGCAATACACACCAAACTGAGCATGTGCAGTGTGACTCCTAGAGCTCTGTATTACCAGCAGATGAATTAGGGACAGTAGAAGAACGGGAGGATCAGAGAAGACAGGATCAAACAGCCTTTTTTACACAATGTGGAGGATTAACCCCTTAGGTGCCACAGTGAGTATAACAAGCACGCTTTACTGCATCTACAGACTGATTGTACTGTTGGGGGTTTAGGGCTTGGATGCTGGGAGGCAGTGTGGCTTCCGTATCAGAAGTGCTGTGATTGGCTCTAACAGTAGTCACATGACTGGAGCCTGCCCTGCTGGCTTCCAATCAGAAGCCTTGACTGAGTGTGTTGGGACTGCAGAGTGAGCGCGCTCTCAGCGCACAACCCCAGGACACCATGGACACATACATGCAATGGCTGGGCATGAAGTCCCACCTGTCCTGCCGCCATATTATGCCTCCAGCAAGAGAGTAAAATGCACATTTTTGGCCTGAAGAGGACCTAAAATCCCCCAAATTGTATGGTTTTCTTTATGGGGAGGTATACACATGCCACGGCAAACATGATCCCCCCGTCACATTTGAGGGGGTGGTATTTCCCAGTCAAATGAATGGAGCCACCCCATAACAGCATACAACGTGGTGGCTGGTGCAGGCTTTTCGGAGTGAAAATAGGAGACATACTGCCTCCTCAACGCATGCCAAACGACCTTCGAAAAGTGATCTACTGCTGATCGCTCTTTAGAGGGATAACAAGTGTATAAAAAAAAAAAAAAAAAAGCCCTCACTAAATGTCCCCCTGTGTGGCCTCCTCAGTAAAGAGCACCTTCCCAAGTGCATCCAATAAGAATTCACAGCCAGCATGGAAAAGATTCCAATTGGTCGCTGCACTGCAGACAATGTTTCCTTTTGAATAAAGTGAGGGATAGAGCCTCTGTCAGATTTTTATTTTCTGTAGAACTTCTAGACCAGCGAGGGGAAATCTCAATGGGGATAAGGATAGGAGGAAAAAAAAAAAAAAAAAAAAAAAAATGTAGGCTACCCACCCTCCCCCCCTTATGTCCCAGAAGTCTGTAGGGACTTACGTCTGCGGGGTGGCCATTCCCGTTCGGTTGCTGTCTTGAACCCGCAGGGGCAGCAGGGACAGCCGGTTGGTGACCGAACTTTTCCTCATTGTTCCTGGTTAGAAAGACAAAAAACGTTGGGCAGGTTAGTGGTTTATAAGATGCCGACTATCCAATCACAGGCCATTCCACGCTCCAGGCAGCCAACATCTAGGGGCCCACATATGAAGGAGCAGCGTGCACATGTTTATTACATATCAGGAGAGCCCAATCATGACATCCGTCACAGTCATGTGACCAGGTCCTCCTCCTATCATGCAGCGTTGTGCGGAGAACACTCCAGGGTCAGGGAATACACTTGTCTACATTTTATGAATGGTCTGCAGTTTAGAATACAGGTGTGATGTCCATCTGGGGGCGGTCTCTGTTATACAGGTGAGGGTGGAGTCCTCTAGGTGGGACGTCTGTTCTGGGATAACACCACTGCGTCCTCAGAAACCACCGGAGTTGTCCGGCCAGGATAATGGCGGCCTGCAGGTCCAGGAGAGAAGCCCATAGACCTGTCACAGCCAATACACCTGAAGCCTACACCAGTCCTGGACTACTAGAGGGTCAGCTCCTGGGCCCAGGACTGTGCTAATCCATTCTCTGTTCCTGGAACCATTCAATCTCCTGGGTCCAGCATTGTACTCACCAGCACTAAAGTGTCAGCTCCTGGGTCCAGCACTGTGCTTAGCTAATCCGTATCCCTGGTATCGTTTGAATGTAAGCTCCTGGGTCCAGCACTGTACTCACCGGCCCTGTACTGCTAGAGTGTCAGCTCCTGGGTCCAGCACTGTACTCACCAGCACTAGAGTGTCAGCTCCTGGGTCCAGCACTGTACTCACCGGCCCTGTACTGCTAGAATGTCAGCTCCTGGGTCCAGCACTGTACTCAGCAATCCTGTACTGCTAGAGTGTCAGCTCCTGGGTCCAGCACTGTACTCAGCAATCCTGTACTGCTAGAGTGTCAGCTCCTGGGTCCAGCACTGTACTCAGCAATCCTGTACTGCTAGAGTGTCAGCTCCTGGGTCCAGCACTGTACTCAGCAATCCTGTACTGCTAGAGTGTCAGCTCCTGGGTCCAGCACTGTACTCACCAGCACTAGAGTGTCAGCTCCTGGGTCCAGCACTGTACTCACCAGCACTAGAGTGTCAGCTCCTGGGTCCAGCACTGTACTCACCGGCCCTGTACTGCTAGAATGTCAGCTCCTGGGTCCAGCACTGTACTCAGCAATCCTGTACTGCTAGAGTGTCAGCTCCTGGGTCCAGCACTGTACTCAGCAATCCTGTACTGCTAGAGTGTCAGCTCCTGGGTCCAGCACTGTACTCACCAGCACTAGAGTGTCAGCTCCTGGGTCCAGCACTGTACTCACCAGCACTAGAGTGTCAGCTCCTGGGTCCAGCACTGTACTCACCGGCCCTGTACTGCTAGAATGTCAGCTCCTGGGTCCAGCACTGTACTCATCCTCTCTGTATCCCTAGTACCATTCAGTCTTCTGGGTTCATCATTATACTCACCAGAACTAGAGTGTCAGCTCCTGTGCCACTCAATTGCCATGGTAACAGAGTGTCAGCTGCTGGGTCCAGCACTGTACTCACCCACTCCCAGCCCTGTTACTCCTAGAGTGTCAGCTCCTAGGTCCAGCACTGTGCCCTATTACCATTCGAGTGTCAGCTCCCAAGCCAGCACTGTACTCACCAGTCCGGTTACCCCTAGAGTGTCAGCTCCTGGGCCCAGCCCTGTACCCTATTACCATTCGAGTGTCAGCTCCTAGGTCCAGCAGTGTACTTACCAGTCCGGTTCCCCTAGAGTGTCAACTCCTGGGCCCAGCCTTGTACCCTATAGCCCTATTACCATTCGAGTGTCAGCTCCTCGGCCCAGTCCCGTACTCCTCCCACCCCCCATCCCGGCTCCGTACTCACCAGCCGCTCTCAGCCTCCACACAGCGGTTGAGAATTCAAACTCGGCGCCTGCGCGTCCCCCAACCCGGGCCCCTCCCACTCCTCCCAGAGCTCCGGACAACAACCAACGCCATCTTAGTACTCAAAAACCAGGCACCGCCCCCGCCAGGCACGTGACATAAGCCTCTCCCAGCCATCCGGTCGTACTAAAATGGTAGTGGGCGGAGGAATCGGAGCCATGTTGGTACACCCACACGTCCGCGCGGCCACTACAAATCACATGACACGAAGCAGCCTATGTTCGCAAGGCAGAAAAGCTGATCACATGGTGTCATCAAAGTGGGCTCCATGTTGGTACTCCCGGAAGTAGGCGAGCCAAAGGGAGAGTAAAGATGGCGGATGAGGATGAAGATCAGACGGTGAGATGATAATATCAGAGAATGGGATGTATGGAGGGGACTCCAGCTAGGAATAGATCTGGGTGGAGGGGTCTCTGTTCGGTTTATATTGCTTTTTGTGAGCTTTACCCTCCAATATGGAGAAGGCAGGGCTGACGTCACATGTGGTTTGTATACATAGGATAAAACAGGTTCATCTCTGGGTGATAAGTCTTTGCAGATCCATAGCAGTGCCACGCCGCTCCTCTTGTGGGGTGAACGACGCCCATATTTCTTCATGCCACTTCCTGTAAGCCCAGGGTGTCGCAACTCCACCCCTGACCACTTTTACAGCGCCGTAAAGTACAGCCCCCCCTCCTCCTGCAGTGCCCATGGTGGTTCCCGGGTTCTCCTGTTTCTCCAGGGATCGCCATAAACAGCGGGGATCCCTTCTCGCAGAGGAGATGGAAGAACGTGCGTTCCCCCATCTCCTCTGTGATGAATGAACCTGGAAGGGGCAGCGATGCAGAACTTCACGTTGGCTCCTTGTTCTGACTTGCTGCCCGTGATGAAATGGCAGACACCGTAACGCACGTGGTCAGAATAGCACCAGTTGTCAGGGATGTTCAATTCCTATCGCCCGACGCCCTAGACATGTAGTTCTGGGTGCCGGGCAGGTAGACCTGCTGCGGGCAAGCAGCGGGCTCATCTGTCAGGTGGAAGCATTCGGGTAGCAGCGCTGGCCACACAGCCTGCTATGGTGCCAGCCTCCTTCCACCCTCCCCACTATATGTCCCGGGCTCTGCTTGCCCATCTACAGGCCCGGGAGCAGTTCAGTGGGTGCTGGCGGGTAAAGGGAGGGAGGAGAGCAGACACATCCGCTCCCCTCCCCTTCTTGTCCTGGCCCAGAAGTGATATGACGTCACTTCCGGGTCCCCGTTGGCAGATTCCCGACCATCGAGGCTGAGAAAGAATGTAATGCGGTGCGATGTGCACTGCATTACATTCAGAGGAGCACAGGGGAGACATCCAGGGTCTTTTAGAGCCTGGATGTCTCAAAAAAAAAAAAAAAAAGAGAACCTGTCACCAAAAATCATCACAAAAGGGACTTTTTGTCCCCTATGTCAGAGGTGTCAAACTGGTGGCCCTCCATCTGTTGCGGTCCCATCATGCCTCTGCCTTTGGGACTCATGGTTGTAACGGTCACTCTTGCAATGCCTCATGGGACTTGTAGTTTGGCAACAGGTTGAAGTTACCCCCAAGCATATGACCCCCCAAAATTTTTTTAAGGCCCCACACATGTACTAACATACAAATGTAAAAGCACACGCTGGGGCGCCTACGCCTGAAAACCATTGCAATACACATATTTATTACTATTATACAGGATGCATATAGCGCCAACAGTTTGCTCAGCGCTTTACAATATAACGGGAGACAATACAGCAACGATACAGTTCAATACAAGAGGGATAGGAGGGCCCTGATCCTGGGAGCTTACAATCTAGGAGGGAGGGGCTAGTGGTACAAAAGGTAGTAACTGTGGGGGATGGACTGGTTGGAAGAGTAGAAGATTCCATTATTAGCTGAGGGCAGGATAGGCTTCCCTGAGGCGATAGGTTTTCAGAGATCGCCTAAAAGTGAGCAGAGTAGGCAATAGTCTGATAAATTGGGGTAGAGAGTTCCAGAGGATGGGGGAAGCTCTGGAAAAGTCCTTACATATCACCGCGCACGCCAGAATGAGAGCGATAATTCTAGCACCGGACCTCTTCCGTACACTATACTGATGACTTAGAAGGGGCTTTATAAACGTCACCTATAGAAAATATCGGGTACAAAAGTTGGTTGTTATTTTACGAGCGCACGTGAATTGAAGGTTTGGCATGTTGGATATCTATTTGCTCGATGCAACCTCGTCTTTTATGTGTTACAAAAAAATTGGATAATTTATTGCTTTTTGTACCCTAAAATTTACTTAAGTGTATTTTTTACTGAAATTTTGCATTTCCTAGACCTTTGTGATAATATCGCGTGTCACACAAAATTGGATCTACCGCTATTTTATTCTCAAGGGTCTCTGATTGCAGAAAATATATCGTGTTTGGGGGGTTTTGTGTCATCTTTAGGCCTTGAAGGATTTTTTTAAATGTGTACAAAAAAACGCAAAAAGGGCTCTGGCAGCGAAAGGGATAAAGGATAAGCCGGACACTCCCCTTTCCTGATGAGCAGCCAATCGGTGCTCATTACACTGCAAGGTCTCTCCCCTCCCTGCTAGTCCCCAGGGGCGGTGCTGGAGACAGGCAGGGGAGGGGAGGAGGAGATGAACAGCGCAATGTTACAAATATTAGGTCGCCATAAAGCCCCTTTTGTTTTTAAAAGCCCCAGACATTACTTAAAGCGGATTTTAAATAGGTTTTTATCAGGACAAGTAGATTGTCATCAGGGACAAGTAGATTGGCGCACTAATTTAGTCCCTGGACAAGTAGTTTTTTTCAAACATTTCCACACCCCTGGTTGCCAAGCCCCCGATGTACACAGGACGATGTCTTTTGGCACACTGACTTGTGAAGGTTGGTGCTCCCTGTGACTGTGCTTGCAGCCTTGTGCTGCCATCTGTTGGCGTGTTACAAAACTAGTCTAGAAATGTTTTGATACCACCTCCTGCGTTTCTATCTATTTACTAACACTAGCTGCAAAAGGATTAAAATGTTGATTGAGATGGTGACGGTCCGCTCTAACGTTCTGCTTTTCCAGTTTGAGGAGGAGAATGACGAAACGGCAGGAGGAGCGGAAGGAGGACTCGGCAGGCGGAAGAGGCTCTTCTCTAAGGAGTGTAAGTTGGTACATTCAGTGAGGTGAACAATTTTAACCATTGGCCGCCCGGCGGCTTCAGATGTGCCTCTTCATTCCGGGTGCACGCCATTTGGCGTGCTCCCGCACATGCGCCGTTTGCGGTAATGCAGAGCGGCGCAGCAGCAGGATCTGTCACCGGCCGTGCACCTCGGACACGGCCGATGACAAATCCGAGTACCGGCTCCCGTTGCTGGTACCATGTGACCTGCTGTGACCAATCACAGCAGGTCACATGACAGTTGTATACATGGATGGCTTCATTCATGATGCCATCCATTGTATACTAGTGCCTAGCTGTGAATGGTCACAGCTAATCACATGCACATGTCGTGATTAGCTGTGACCAAATCACAGCTAAGCACAAAAAAAAAAAAAAAAAAAAAAAAAGCTGAATGAATCGATTTCATTCAGGTAAATACTTGCTTATAGCAAAGTAATTCTTTGCTATAAGCAAATTGTGTAAAAAAAAAAAAAAAAAAAAAAAATACTGATCACTTCCCCAAAGTACTACAATGTTACTATGGTAACATTGTACTACTTTGGTCATAGTAAAATATGAAAAAAAAATTAAAAAAAAATGTAATAAAAAATTAAATATAATAAAAAAAAAAAAATTTTTTTTTTTTCATACTGTCACCAGTCAGTGTCCCTGATCACCGCTATGCCAGTTATATGATGACACTGTACTGCACTGGTGACAGTATGTAAAAAAAAAAATAGTGAAAATAATTTTTTTAATTTTTTCATTTTCCGAAAAATTATGACATAAAAAATACAACTTCAAAAAACTTGCCATGCCTCTTATGAAGTACGTCGGACTGTCTACTCTGCAAAAAGGGGTCATTTGGGGGATATCTGTACTGTCCTGACATTTGGGGGATATCTGTCCTGTCCTGACATTTGGGGGATATCTGTCCCGTCCTGACATTTGGGGGGATATCTGTACAGTTCTGACATTCTTGGACCTCAAGAAATTAGATTGGCTGTCAGTACTTCAGGATTGATCAATACTCAGATCTATACCATAGTTTGTGAACTCTATAACTTTCCTACAAACTAAATAATACATCCTAATTTGGGTTATTTTCACCAAAGACATGTAGCAGAATACATCTCGGCCTAAATTTATGAAGAACAATTATTTATTTGTAAACTTTTATAACGGAAACAAAGAAAAATGTGTTTTTTTTTCAAAATGTTTGGTCTTTTTTTGTTAATTTAGCAAAAAATAAGAACCCCAGCGGTGATTAAATACCACCAAAAGAAAGCTCTAGTTGTGTGAAGAAAATGATAAAATTTTAGTTTGGGTACAATGTTGTATGACCGCGCATTGTCATTCAAAGTGTGAGAGCGCTGAAAGCTGAAAAATGGCCTGGGGGCAGGAAGGGGGAAAATTGCCCGGTATGGAAGTGGTTAAAGCAGCGGTCTGTCCTCACACATTAACCGCTCCCCGTCCACCCTATGGCAGAGGTACTGATACAGGGAGACACGGGTGCACAAATCACATGTTTTTGCATTGCCAAGTAGGGGCGTGCCTGGTCATGTTACCTGTCAAATCACATGACCTACCGAGAGGTAGTGGTGAAGGGGCCCACACCCAATCACTGCCCAAAGCTTGCCGCCTCAACCTCCGCAACCTCCAAAATGCACCCCTTCCTAACCAATGACACCACAAAGCTCCTAATTCACTCCCTGGTCATCTCCTGCCTCAACTACCGCAACTCCCTCCTCATTGGATGAGGACACCCCCCCTCTTCCAGTCCGTCATGAAAGGCTGCTGCCAGGCTCATCCACCTTACCAACCATTCAGTGTCCACCCCTCTCTGCCAATCTCTCCACTGGCCTCCAGTCAGTGTCCTCTGCCAATACATCCACTGGCCTCCAGTCAGTGTCCTCTGCCAATCCCTCCACTGGACTCCAATCCGTTTCCTCTGCCAATCCCTCCACTGGACTCTATTCAGTGTCCACCCCTCTCTGCCAATCCCTCCATTGGCCTCCAATCCCTCCACTGGCCTCCAATCAGTGTCCACCCCTCTCTGCCAATCCCTCCACTGGCCTTCATTCAGTGTCCACCCCTCTCTGCCAATCCCTCCACTGGCCTCCAGTCAGTGTCCTCTGCCAATCCCTCCACTGGCCTCCAATCAGTGTCCTCTGCCAATCCCTCCACTGGACTCCATTCAGTGTCCACCCCTCTCCGCCAATCCCTCCACTGGCCTCCAATCAGTGTCCTCCACCCCTTTCTGCTGCCAATCCCTTCACTGGGCCTCCAGTCAGTGTCCTCTGCCAATCCCTCCACTGGACTCCATTCAGTGTCCACCCCTCACCGCCAATCCCTCCACTGGCCTCCAGTCAGTGTCCTCCACCCCTTTCTGCCAATCCCTCCACTGGCCTCCAATCAGCATCCTCCACCCCTCTCTGCCAATCCCTCCATTGGCCTCCAATCCCTCCACTGGCCTCCAATCAGTGTCCACCCCTCTCTGCCAATCCCTCCACTGGCCTTCATTCAGTGTCCACCCCTCTCTGCCAATGCCTCCACTGGCCTCCAATCATTGTCCTCCTCCCCTCTCTGCCAATCCCTCCACTGGCCTCCATTCAGTGTCCTCCACCTCTCTCTGCCAATCCCTCCACTGGCCTCCATTCAGTGTCAGAGTGACGTTTTTTTAGCCAGATGAAGGAATATAAACCGGCGGAGGAAGAGGATGGAGCAACATCTGGAACCAGCACCCAACGTTGGCTGCCTAGAGCAGTGGTTCTCAACCTTGGTGATACCAGGGCCCGGTACATTTATACCCGTACGATAGAAGTATCTGAATCCAAACTATGTATTAAAAGGGAGAGTAGTCTCCCCAAATTGTTGGTGCCAGTTGGATTATGGCCCCCCTAGGGGACATTAGCCCTCATATCATTGGTCTCAGTGGGATTGTGGCCCCCAGTGACGAATAATTCCAAATCATTAGTGCCAATAGGATTATGGTCCTCAGGTTGAATAGCTCTGTAGTCCATTGGTGTCAGTGAAATCAGGGCTCCAGGGGAGCATAGACCCCACCCCCCCCTCCCTAAAATCATTGTTGTCTATAGAATGGGGAATCCCAGGGTGCTTAGTTCTTCAAACCTTGGTGTCAGCAAGATCAGGGATCCAAGGAAGAACAGACCCCTAAATCATTGGTGCCAGAGGGATTGTGGCCCCCAATAGAGAATACTTCCAAATGATTAGTACCAACAGGATCGTGGTCCTCAGGGAGATTAGCTCTGTAGTTCATTGTCAGTGAAATCGGGGCTCCAGGGGAGAAGAGACCTCCTCCCACCCCTTCCCCAAAATTATTGGTGTCTGTAGAATGGGGAACCCCAGGATGCTTAGTTCTGCAAACCTTGGTGTCAGCAAGATCGGGGATCCAAGGGAGAACAGACCCCTAAATCTATGGTGCCAGTGGGATTGTGGCCCCAGAGGAGAATAGCCCCAAATCATTGGTGTCAGTCAGATATTGGGCCCCCAGAGAAGATAAGCCTCTCAAATCTTTGGTTCTAGTGGAATAGTCCCGCCCTTTCTATGGTCCATCAGTGGTTGAACTATTTCAGATCCGTCAGGTGCAGATCGATCTGTCCACGGAGTGAGATCATGCCACGTGCTTTCACTAAAGTGGTTGTAAATCCTTACACCTACCCAGTGCAGTGACTGGCCTCAGGTGATACCCAGAGATGAAACAAATCCTCCTACATAAGTTGTACCTGTTTATCTGCATTATTCTCTGCTCTACATCCGTTCAAAGTCCAGAATTGATAAAGCTTGTCTGAGAGTTCAGAAAAAAGGGGGTTGGAGAGCTGAAACTACAAACTGAAGATCTCAGTGAGGAGAGCTCTGAGAGCTGATTTAAGGAACAGAGCTGAGGCTGTCAATTTTCTGGAGGTCCCTCCCCCGTCACCTTTTTTTCTCTTGGTGTCAGAAGTGATTTATGCTGATAGCAGAGGAAGGAGGCAGCAGAAAGAAATTACACTTAGTGCTCTGGATTGAGACAAGTACATACTATAGAGGGATATGCTTTGTTCATATTCCATGTCGAAGGTTTACAACCACTTCCAGTCCGGACGCTTTCCCCCCCCCCCCTTCCAGTCCGGACGCTTTCCCTCCCCCCCCTTCCAGTCTTCCAGTCCGGACGCTTTCCCTCCCCCCCCTTCCAGTCTTCCAGTCCGGACGCTTCCCCCCCCCCCCTTCCAGTCTGGACGCTTTCCCCCCCCCCCTTCCAGTCCGGACGCTTCCCCCCCCCCCCCCTTCCAGTCCGGACGCTTCCCCCCCCCCCCCTTCCAGTCCGGACGCTTTCCCCCCCTACCTTCCAGTCCGGACGCTTTCCCCCCCCCCCCCCCCCTTCCAGTCCGGACGCTTTCCCCCCCAGTCCGGACGCCTTCCCCCCCAGGCCAATTTTCAGCTTTCAGCACTATCACACTTTGAATGACAATTGCGCGGTCATGCAACACTGTACCCATATGAATTTTTTAGCATTTTTTTTGAGACAGATAAAACTTTATTTTGGTGGTATTTATTCACCGCTGGTATTTTATTTTTTTTTGCTATGTAAATCAAAAAGTCCAAAAATTTTGAAAAAAAATGTTTCATCATAAATCTAGGCCAAAATTTATTCCATTATCTTTTTAGTAAAAAAAATAAATAACCAAAAATTATAATTTTAATTTTTTTTTTACATTTTTATTTTATTATTTTATATTATTATTTGTTTTTTTTTACATACTGTCACCCTAGCAGTACAATGTCACCATGGTGACACTGTACTACTTGTGGGGGAGTGATGATTTTTTTTTTTTTTTACACACTGATTGCTTTTACACCCATAAAGGCTGTAAAAGCAATCATTTGTCCTTCTTCTGGCTGCATTCTTGCAGCCATTGAGAAATACTGTGGGAGGTGTGATTGGTCACAGCTTGTCACATGGTCCAAGGCTGTTGTGAATAGCCCTGTACCATGTGATCTCTGTGATTCACATTTTCACATGTAGTAAGCAATGATGTCAGAAGTGACATCCTTGCTTACTACTCTGCATGTGATCACTGATTGGCCAATCAGTGATCACATGATCGGGACTCACACAGAGGTCCCGTACGACGATCGGTGTTCCATTGTGTCTGGAGGACACAGCGGGCACCAGATCGCGGTGCTGCGCGCTCCTAGGAAGCATGCACAAGCAGCGGGCGGGGAGGCCGTTTATATAAACACCCACCAAACCCTGCACTGCCCCTGTCTGGTCGTTTATATACAGCGGCCGGACGGGAGGTGGTTAACGAAAGGGTGGCTTTTTCAGTGACGCAGCAAGTGGGGGCCCACCCCACAAATCCTCCAGTCCTCCGGCAGGCCAGGCCAATCCTGGTGTGATAGCAGCCCAACAGAAGGGAAACCATGGGCCTGGTGGTTGAGAACGTGGACCTGGAGCAGAACTGTATGAAACCTTTTGTATTTATGAGGGCAATAGAAGTGGACATGGAGTAAAGTGCAGTAGTTGTAGCAGCCAATACCCAAATCATTGATCATGTGGCTTCGGTAAAATGGAATCTGATTGGTTGCTCTAAGTTGTTACCCTCCGCACATCATCACTTTACGGTGAGCCCAGTATTTATTTATTTTATTTATTTCAGGTACTTATATAGCGCCATCAATTTACATATTTGTACACAGCACTTTAACCCTATATACAATCACAAGTCCCTAACCCTCAAGGGGCGTACAATCTAAGGTCCCTAACCCTCAAGGGGCGTACAATCTAAGGTCCCTAACCCTCAAGGGGCGTACAATCTAAGGTCCCTAACCCTCAAGGGGTGTACAATCTAAGGTCCCTAACCCTCAAGGGCGTACAATCTAAGGTCCCTAACCCTCAAGGGGCGTACAATCTAAGGTCCCTAACCCTCAAGGGGCGTACAATCTAAGGTCCCTAACCCTCAAGGGGCGTACAATCTAAGGTCCCTAACCCTCAAGGGTCCCTAACCCTCAAGGGGTGTACAATCTGAGGTCCCTAACCCTCAAGGGGCGTACAATCTGGGCCCTCCAATCTAAGGTCCCTAACTCACATTCATACATACACATACTAGGGACAATTTAGACAGGAGCCAATTCACCTACCAGCATGTCTTTGGAGTGTGGGAGGAAACCGGAGTACCCGGAGGAAACCCGCACAGGAGAACATGCAAACTCCAGGCAGGTGATGCCGTGGTTGGGATTCGAACCAACGACCCGAGTACTGCTAGGCAGAAGTGCTAACCATTTAGCCGCTGTGCTGCCCCGGTGTGATCAATGTTTTATTTGCTGGCGCAGCCTTTGACGCGGCGTCACCCGTACTGACTTTCTGCTCTCTCCTGCAGTGCGCTGTATGATGTATGGATTTGGAGACGATCAGAACCCGTATACAGAATCTGTGGATATTCTGGAGGATCTGGTGATAGAATTCATCACTGAAATGGTTGGTATGAATCATGTATAATATTGTCCACGTAGTGCGTATAAATATCAGAAATCTTTACATCAAATCCTAGTTTATTTTATTTTTGTACTTTAGTTTGATATTCTGCTAAAGTTTGGAAAAACACATACAGTCATGGCCCAAAATCTTGCCCCCCCCCCCCCCCCCCCCCCCCCCCCCCGCATTTCTGTCAGATAACGCACCATTTTACCCAGAAAATTGCTGCAATTACAAATGTTTCGGCATTCTCATGTGTATTTCTTTCGTTTATATCGGTATGGCACAAAAAAAGTGGAAAAACAAAAAGCCAAATCTGACACATTCCACGCAAACCCCCCCAAAATGGACTGGACAAAATTATTGGCACCCTCCATGTAATATTTGGTTGTTCACTCTTTGGAAAAAATCACTGAAATCAATGTCTTCCTGTCACCATCAATGAGTTTCTTCCACCTCTCTACTGGAATTTTGGATCGCTCTTCTTCCACCAACTGCTCCGGGTCTCTCAGATTGGAAGGTTCCTTTTCCCAACTGATGTTCTGAGATCTCTCCACAGGAGATCTATGGGATGGAGATCTGGACTCATTGCTGGTCCAGTTCAGTCCTCTCCAGCGCTTTGCCTGAAACCATTTCTGGGGGCTCTTTGACGTGTGCTTTGGGGGTCATTGTCCTGCTGGAAGACCCAGACCTCTGATGGAGAGCCAACTTTCTGACACCGGGCCCTACATTGCACCCCAGAATTCTTTGGTAGTCTTCAGATTTCATAATGTCATTCACACGGTCAAGACATCCAGTGCCTGAAGCAGCAAAGCAACCCCAAAACATCAGTGACCCCCCCCCCCTCCCATGTGTGACTGGAGGGACTGTGACCCCCCCCCCCCCCCCATGTGTGACTGGAGGGACTTTTCTATAAAGGCCTCATTGCTTTATCTGACAACAGTAGAGTGATGGGCTTTACCAAATAGCTGGAATTTTGTTTGGTTTGTCCACAGCACACATTTCCCCAAAAGGATTTTGGCTTCCTCAGGTAAGTTTTGACAAACTCCAATCTGACTTACAATATGTTTCTGTGTCAGCAGTGGGGTCCTCCTGGGTCTCCTACCATATTTCTGTGTCAGCAGTGGGGTCCTCCTGGGTCTCCCACCATATTTCTGTGTCAGCAGTGGGGTCCACCTGGGTCTCCCACCATATTTCCGTGTCAGCAGTGGGGTCCTCCTGGGTCTCCTACCATATTTCTGTGTCAGCAGTGGGGTCCTCCTGGGTCTCCCACCATATTTCTGTGTCAGCGGTGGGGTCCTCCTGGGTCTCCCACCATATTTCTGTGTCAGCAGTGGGGTCCTCCTGGGTCTCCTACCATATTTCTGTGTCAGCAGTGGGTCCTCCTGGGTCTCCTACCATATTTCTGTGTCAGCAGTGAGGTCCTCCTGGGTCTCCCACCATATTTCTGTGTCAGCAGTGGGTCCTCCTGGGTCTCCTACCATATTTCTGTGTCAGCAGTGGGGTCCCCCTGGGTCTCCCACCATATTTCTGTGTCAGCAGTGGGGTCCTCCTGGATCTCCCACCATATTTCTGTGTCAGCAGTGGGGTCCTCCTGGGTCTCCCACCATATTTCTGTGTCAGCAGTGGGGTCCTCCTGGGTCTCCCACCATATTTCTGTGTCAGCAGTGGGGTCCTCCTGGGTCTCCTACCATATTTCTGTGTCAGCGGTGGTTTCCTCCTGGGTCTCCTACCATATTTCTGTGTCAGCAGTGGGGTCCTCCTGGGCCTCCTACCATAGCATCCCTTTTCATTCAGATGGTGACGTATAGGGGGAGTGGAGCGGACACAGTTGTACCCTGTGCCTGCAGGTCAGCTTGGATTTGTCTGGAAGTTGATGGAGGTTCTTTATCCACCATTCCAACAATTCTTCATTGCAATCTTTGACCAATCTTTCTCTTTCTTCCACGCCCAGGGAGATCAGCTACAGGTCCATGGGCTGTAAACCTCTTGACAATGTTGCACACAGTGGACACAGGAACATTAAGATTTCTGGAGATGGACTTGTAACCCTGAGATTGTCCATGCTTTTCCACCATTTTTGTTCTCAAATCCTCAGACAATTCTTTGCTGCTCTCTTTCTTCTCCATGCTATATGCGGCACACAGAGACACCCAACAGAAAGGTGAAGCCATTTTTCACCATTTTAATTGGTTGTCGGTGTGATTTCTATATGGTCAGCTCCTGGTCATGGATACGGGGGAGTTTAATTACAAATTACAGGAGCGTCACAAACTCGGAATGCAGTTATTTCTTACAATTTTGAGAACGTGCCAATAGTTTTTTTCCAGTCGATTTTTGGGGTTTTGCGTGGAATGTGTCAGATTTGTATTTTTGTTTCTCCACTTTTTTGTGTCATGCCGATACAAACCAAAGAAATAATCACGAGAATGCCGAAACATTTGTAATCGCAGCAATTTTCTGGGGGAAAGCGGTGCGTTATCGGACAAAAATGAAGGGGGGGGGACAAGCTTTTTGGCCATGACTGTAGTAAACATTTGTAGAGGGAAAGTACAGCGTGTTGTCACTGTGGGGTTTATTTTTTTTTTTATAAAGCTGAAGAGTGCCAAATCCGGCTCACTTCAGCATAGAATGGACTTCCAGGTTTTTTTTTTGCCAAAGCTTAATGGATCAAGCCGAGGTTAGAAGCCGATTGGTTTCTATAAAGAAGTGAGCCGGATTTTGCACTCTCCAGCTTTAGTAAATAAACCCCTAAGTACCTACCTTGACTATACATCACCATCTGAATGAAAAGGGACGCTATGGTGGGAGACCCAGGAGGACCCCACTGCTGACACAGAAATATGGTGAGAGACCCAGGAGGACCCCACTGCTGACACAGAAATATGGTAGGAGACCCAGGAGGACCCCACCGCTGACACAGAAATATGGTAGGAGACCCAGGAGGACCCCACTGCTGACACAGAAATATGGGAGGAGACCCAGGAGGACCCCACTGCTGACACAGAAATATGGGAGGAGACCCAGGAGGACCCCACTGCTGACACAGAAATATGGGAGGAGACCCAGGAGGACCCCACCGCTGACACAGAAATATGGGAGGAGACCCAGGAGGACCCCACCGCTGACACAGAAATATGGTGGGAGACCCAGGAGGACCCCACCGCTGACACAGAAATATGGGAGGAGACCCAGGAGGACCCCACCGCTGACACAGAAATATGGTGGGAGACCCAGGAGGACCCCACCGCTGACACAGAAATATGGTGGGAGACCCAGGAGGACCCCACTGCTGACACAGAAATATGGTAGGAGACCCAGGAGGACCCCACCGCTGACACAGAAATATGGTGGGAGACCCAGGAGGACCCCACTGCTGACACAGAAATATGGTGGGAGACCCAGGAGGACCTCACTGCTGACACAGAAATATGGTGGGAGACCCAGGAGGACCCCACTGCTGACACAGAAATATGGTGGGAGACCCAGGAGGACCCCACTGCTGACACAGAAATATGGTAGGAGACCCAGGAGGACCCCACTGCTGACACAGAAATATGGTAGGAGACCCAGGAGGACCCCACTGCTGACACAGAAATATGGTAGGAGACCCAGGAGGACCCCACCGCTGACACAGAAATATGGGAGGAGACCCAGGAGGACCCCACCGCTGACACAGAAATATGGGAGGAGACCCAGGAGGACCCCACCGCTGACACAGAAATATGGGAGGAGACCCAGGAGGACCCCACCGCTGACACAGAAATATGGGAGGAGACCCACCATACAATTGACAATTAACCTCCTTACGACTGACAACATATATGCGAGGCAGCAAACGGGTGAGCGGTAAAACCCACACTCCGCACCTATTCATCACTGTGTGGCTGCTGTTCATGTGCTGAGGGTGCGCTCACTGCATGCTCCCAGTATGAAGGATCTACAGGTATTTTCTGCACTGGCTGAAAAATGTTTTTGGCCTGAAAAAAGAAAACTAGTGCAGACACCACATCCAAGACTGAGAAGCTTCAATATTTTTGTTTCTGGCTTTGGATATCTTTTACGAAGGCTGTCACCTTGCATAGATACCCCCCCAACCCTTCTAATACATTCCTTACCTTGCATTTTCCTGCCCTGCACCTTCCTCTGTTGCAGCTAGTGCTAGTGATCGGGGGAGGGGGGGGGGGGGGGTGATGGCACTCCCTAGGTCATGTGACAATTCTTAGCAATTTTTACTGCCGCATGAGGAATTCCATTCTCCCTTATTACCTTTCCAACCGCTCTGTTTGCGCCACCCCCCCCCCCCCCCCCCCCCCGCCAATCTCTCCACTGCCTCCACTCAGTGTCCTCCACCCCCCTCTGCCAATCCCTCCACTCAGTGTCCTCCACCCCCCTCTGCCAATCCCTCCACTGGCCTCCACTCAGTGTCCTCCACCCCCCTCTGCCAATCACTCCACTCAGTGTCCTCCACCCCCCTCTGCCAATCCCTCCACTGGCTTCCGATTGCGCAACGGATCAAATTCAAAATCCTAACACTGACGTACAAAGCTGTCCACCATACTGCCCCGAACTACATCACTGACCTAATATCCAAGTACCGCCCAACACGCACACTCCGCTCCTCACAAGACCTCCTTCTCTCTAGTTCCCTGGTCTCCTCCTCCCATGCCCGCCTCCAGGACTTCTCCAGGGTGTCACCCATCCTCTGGAACTCCCTGCCCCAACCCATCAGATTATCACCTACTCTCCTCTCCTTTAGGCGCACCCTGAAAACCCATCTCTTCAGGGAAGCCTACCCCACCCCCTGCTAACTTGCCGACCTCCTCCACTCTTCCTACCACTCCATCCCCCACAGCTATCTCCTCCTGTACCACCATCCCCTCCCTCCTAGATTGTAAGCTCCAAGGATCAGGGCCCTCGATCCCCTCATGTTTTTCATTGTATTGGTATTGTTCTGTCACATGTTCTGTCCCCCTTTGTAATGTACAGCGCTGAGCGAACTATTGGCGCTTTATAAATACTGTATAATAATAATACCCAGAATTGCCAGGTATTGTCACTGGCTGCAGCAGGTGAGCGTTCACAAGGTGAATATAGAGGGGTTGGAATGGGGTGGGAGGCTACCCCACCCCACGCTGTCACTTTGCCCTGCAAGTGCAAAGTGTCTTTTGAAAGCAGAAATTCATCCAAACAACCCCCCCCCTTTCATAATTGCCCCAGCGCTTCTTTTTTTTTTTTTCCTGTAGCACTTCCTCCTTTCTCAAATGGGTAGAAATGATGGAAATGAAAAGATCCCGATCGCAAGGGGAGATCGGGACCTTTCCGTGAGACACCGACATACATGCTGGGAGCGAACAGGGCACGCGCTCTCAGCACATATGTTTTTCAAACGGTACGCAAATATGCGGCCGCTCAGCGTCAAGGCCCAGCCGCACGTGACGTAAATTTCATTTGTGTGCAATGTTATAACAGAAACAAAGAAAAGTGCGAGTTTTGCAAAAGTTTCAGTGTTTTTGGTTTTTTTATTTAGCAAAAAAAAAAAAAAAAAAAAAATCAGCTGTGATTAAATACCACCAAAAGAAAGCTCTATTTGTGTGAAAATGTAAAAAAAATGTCATATGGGTACAGTGTTGCATGACCGCGCAATTGTCAGTTAAAGTAAAGCAGCGCCATAACACAGAAAAATGGCCTGGTCAGAAAGGGGGGGGGGGGGGGGCAGAATGCTCTGGAGGGCGAGGGGATAAATTTTAGTAAACTTCTGAATGCGTTTTTTTTTGTACCTTTTTTAGTAGTTGTATAATATTGATGATGCTGAATATCTCTCCCTAGACACACAAGGCCATGTCCATCGGGCCGCCAGGGGCGGGTCCAGGTGGAGGATATTGTGTTCTTGATTCGGAAGGACCCGCGGAAGTTTGCCAGAGTGAAGGATCTGCTCACCATGAATGAGGAACTGAAGCGCGCCAGGAAGGCGTTCGATGAGGCCAACTATGGTTCCTGAGCGACCCTCCACTAGTATGGTGCTCTCACCATGCATTCAGTGCATGCTTCACCAGTGTGGCCCCCGTGTGGTCCCAGTGTGGTGTGCGGGTGGGATTTCTTTTTCTATGTAAATATTGTTGCAAGAAAAACCAATAAACTTTTTTTTTTTTTTTAAAGTATTTTTATTTTCAAGTAATTCAGTTTAACCCCTTCATGCCTGAGGGTAAAACAAATCCAAATGCCTAAGCACAATTTTGCAACGTTGACATTTGTTAGTAAAACCGTCCGTATCATCACAACTACTTTGTACATCCGGGTGGATTATACTGCGTTTTTATCAGGACAAATTGGGCTTTCATTTGCTGGTAGATGGTAATGGATAGCTCCTGAATATTTTTTCTATTATCAAAGGAAAACTGGGCCAAAATAGTAAAATAAAAAAATTGTTTTTATTTAGCTGTGTATTTCTTGTTACAACCATAACCTACCACCAAAGAACAACCCAAAATAAATTCTCCAGCTCTTGACGATCGCGGCGATACCATATATGTGTATGTTATTTGTTGTTTGTACCCGGAGTACAGCCCAGAAACAATAGTGCGCATTTTGTGTTTTTTGTTTTTTTTTACCTAAAACACACTGAGACTGACACCAATTTTTTTTTTGTAACCCTGACCTTTTAACCTTGACCTTTGACCTTGATCCAAACAATAACCCTGGCACCGAACTAGATCAAACCTTGATCTAGATATTTTTTCTTTTATTTTTTAATATTTTATTTATCTTTTTTTTTCTCTCTATGCCGGGAGTTACAATGTATCTCTCTCCATTTATAGAGAGAGACACAAAAACAAGGGGGCTGGGCTGCACAGTGACTGATCAATGTGATAGCCACTCAGAGGCTATCACAGCAATCATGTGACCCGGAATTGGGAGTCCCGGATCCTGATCGTTAGAACGGGACCCGGGGCTCTCAGTGACACCCCGGTGTTTGTGCTGTGAGCGTGCAGTGCGGCGTGCTCCCAGCACAAAGATAGGTACGTAAATATTATGAAGTATGCTTAGTATCCCAAGTATATAAATACAAATAAACCCCCCCAGTGCAAAATAATGACAATTAAATACGGTGTACCCTTCCCTTATTAACAAACTTCCCCAAAACACATATAAACACTTTAACCGTTTCAATACCGGGCAGTTTTCCCCCTTCCTGCCCAGGCCAGTTTTCAGGTTTCAGCGCTCTCACACTTTGACAATTGCGCGGTCATACAACATTGTACCCAAACTAAAATTTTATCATTTTCTTCACACAACTGGAGCTTTCTTTTGGTGGTATTTAATCACCGCCGGGGTTTTTATTTTTTTGCTAAATTAACAAAAAAAAAAAAAACATTTTTGAAAAAAAAAAAAAACACGTTTTTCTTTGTTTCTGTTATAAAAGTTTACAAATAAATAATTGTTCTTCACAAATTTAGGCCGAGATGTATTCTGCTCCATGTCTTTGGTGAAAATAACCAAAATTAGGATGTATTATTTAGTTTTTAGGAAAGTTATAGAGTTCACAAACTATGGTATAGATCTGAAAATTGATCAATCCTGAAGTACTGACAGCCAATCTAATTTCTTGAGGTCCAAGAATGTCAGAACAGTACAGATATCCCCCAAATGTCAGGACAGTACAGATATCCCCCAAATGTCAGGACAGTACAGATAATCCCCCAAATGTTAGAACAGTACAGACAGATATCCCCCAAATGTTAGAACAGTACAGATATCCCCCAAATGGCAGGACAGTACAGATATCCCCCAAATGTCAGGACAGTACAGATATCCCCCAAATGTCAGGACAGTACAGATATCCCCCAAATGTCAGGATGGTACAGATATCCCCCAAATGTCAGGACGGTACAGATATCCCCCAAATGTCAGGACGGTACAGATATCCCCCAAATGACCCCTTTTTGCAGAGTAGACAGTCCGACGTACTTCATAAGAGAAATGGCGAGTTTTTTGAAGTTGTATTTTGTTTTTGTCATAATTTTTCGGAAAATGAAAAAATGCAAAAAATTATTTTCACACAATGTTTTTTTTTACATACTGTCACCAGTGCAGTACAGCGTCTTCATATAACTGGCATGGCGGTGATCAGGGACACTGACTGGTGACAGTATGAAAATATATATATATATTTTATTATTTTTAATTTTTTATTACTTTTTTTTATTTTTTTTAAGATTTTTTTTTTTTTCATATTTTACTATGACCAAAGTAGTACAATGTTACCATAGTAACATTGTACTACTTTGGGGAAGTGATCAGTATTTTTTTTTTTTTTTTTTTTTTACACAATTTGCTTATAGCAAAGAATTACTTTGCTATAAGCAAGCATTTACCTGAATGACATCGATTCATTCAGGTTTTTTTTTTTTTGTGCTTAGCTGTGATTGGCCACAGCTAATCACATGACATGTGCATGTGACCTGCTGTGACCATTCACAGCTAGACACTAGTATACAATGGATGGCATGAATGAAGCCATCCATTGTATACAACTGTCATGTGACCTGCTGTGATTGGTCACAGCAGGTCACATGGTACCGGCAACGGGGGGCCGGTACTCAGATCTGTCATCGGCCGTGTGCGAGGTACATGGCCGGTGACAGATTGCGCCGCTGAGCGGCTCTGCAACCGTGCGAACTGCGCATGTGCGGGAGGACGCCAAATGGCGTACACCCGGAAAGCTAGAGCATTTTTGCGGCTATAGGCAAACGGGCAGCTAATGGTTAAACCCCAAAAAGTGTGATAATCTTATGAAGTGTGCTTCGTATCACAAGTATAAATACAAATATAATAAGTGCTCTAAACAAAAACAAAAAACACACAAGTCCCAAAATAATAAAATAGTCCTTCAAAATATCAAAGTCATTCAAAAATCTCAAAATCAACCTCCAGGTGAAGACAGCCTCCAAAGTGATTTCTGAAACCAAAAAAAGAAAGAAGAAAGGAAAACGCACATAGTGTATTATCCTTAACAACTTGAATTATTCATTCCATAACGCATGTGATTCACACAAAAACACTCGTGATCACTATATGGTAAGGTGAATAGCTGTGTAAACACGCGCCCGTCAACTTTGATATTTTGAAGGACTATTTTATTATTTTGGGACTTTTTTTTTTTTTTGTTTTAGTTTAGAGCACTTATTATATTTGTATTTATACTTGGGATGCTAAGCATACTTCATAAGATTATCACACTTTTTGGGGTTTAAAGTGTTTATATGCGTTTTGGGGAAGTTTGTGAATAAGGGAAGGGTACACCGTATTTAATTGTCAGGTACGCAAATATGCGGCCTCACGGAAAAAGCCCATATTTGTCGGCGTCAAGGGGTTAAAGTTCATTAAAGCTGATTTGTGCCTGTATTTGGCCTTCTTTGGTTCCTCTCCATCATCAACATTCTAATGACATTTTTTAAATAAGACCCTTTTAGTTTTCATTATATCCTTTTTTTTTTTTTAGTTTTGTTTTAAACCCAGTGACATCATCACCGGGTCTCTGTACTTCTCTATGCAATGCGGGCGGATCCTGACTTGTGGGACCAGCCAGTAGGGTGCTGTACAGTTGCAAGAAAAAGTATGTGAACCCCTTGGTATTACGTGGAGTTTTGCATGAATTGGGCATAAAATGTGCTCTGACCGTCATCTATGTCACAACAATAGAAGAACACAGTCTGCTGAACATAATACTACACAAACATTAGATGTTGCCATGGTTTAATTGCACATAACATGTAAACATTCACAGTGCAGGGAGGAAAAAAGTATGTGAGGCCCTAGCTTAATGACTTCTCCCAGAGCTAATTGGAGCCAGGAGTGAGCCAACCTTGACTCCAATCAGTGTGATGATATTGGATGTGTTGCTGACAGCTGTCCTGCCCTTAAAAAAAAACACACACCTGTTTTGGGTTTACTGGTTTCAAGAAGCACTGTCTGATGTGAACCATGCCTCGCAGAAAAGAGCTCTCAGAAGACCAACGATCAAGAATTGTTGACTTGCATGAAGCTGGAAAGGGTTACAAAAGTATCTCCAAAAGCCTTGATGTTCATGTGTCCACGGTAAGACAGACTGTCCACAAATGGAGAAAGTTTAGCACTGTTGCTACTCTCCCTAGGCGCATGGTCGTCCTGTAAAAATGACTGCAAGAGCACAGCGCAGAATGCTGCATGAGGTAAAGAAGAATCCCAGAGTGTCAGCTAAAGACCTACAGAAATCTCTGGCACATGCTAACATTTTTGTTGACACATCTACAATAAGGAAAACATTAAACAAGAATGGAGTACATGGGAGGACACCACGGAGGAAGCCATTGCTGTCCAAAAAGAAGATTGCAGCACGTTTGAAGTTTGCAAAAGAGCACCTGGATGTTCCACAGCACTACTGGCAGAATATACTGTGGACAGATGAAACCAAGATTGAGTTGTTTGGGAAGAACACACAACACTATGTGTGGAGAAAAAAAGGCACAGCACACCAACATCAAACCTCATCCCCACTGTGAAACATGGCGGAGGGAGCATCATGGTTTGGGGCTGCTTTGCTGCCTCAGGGCCGGGACAGATTGTTGTCATTGATGGGAAAATGAATTCCAGAGTTTATCAAGACATTTTGCAGGAAAACGTACGACCAACTGAAGCTCCGCAGAGGATGGGTGATGCAACAGGACAATGACCCAAAGCATACAAGTCATTCAACAAAACAATGGCTGCAACAGCACAGAATACGCCTTCTGGAGTGGCCCAGTCAGAGTCCTGACCTCAACCCGATTGAAATGCTGTGGCATGACCTTAAGAGAGCGATTCACACTAGACATCCCGAGAATATTGCTACACTGAAACAGTTTTGTGAAGAGGAGTGGTCCAAAATGACTCCAGATCGTTGTGCAGGTCTGATCTGCAACTACAGGAAA